CCTATTTAAATTCACGTCTTTGCAAACATAAGATCACTCGTTACGAAGTCATGCACTGAGCTTTGGTCTCATCATGGTCTATCATAAACATAAGTATTTACTTCAATTGTATCTTCAAACCAGCATATTTATATATAATTATATATGATCATATGTAGCCATATATGAACAGAAAGAGAGAAAGAGAGACAGAGACAGAGACAAAATCTACCTACCCTTATAGAAAAAAACTACAAGAATACGAAAAAACTACTGACATGCTATTGAAAAATTGTAGTTCTTCATTAATATGCCAATAATTTTTTCGTATTCCTATGGTTTTTTTCCGTAAAGGCAGACAACACAAAATCTTCAATGAATGTTCTGAGAACTTATCCCATACAGCACCAAATGTCTAAAATACATCCCAGAGACGTTCCAGAGACAATGTGATATCTCTGGGATGTCTTTGTATTTCAGATATTTGTGCTGTATGGGTATGTATATATTTAGAAGCCTTCAGAATATCTTTGAGATATCCTGGGGACTTATACGGACATTTAGAAGTCTATATGAACTTTTTTTCCCGAGGCCGTCTCTATTTCTTCAAGAGTACGAACTTGCAGAATTCAGTTCATCGTCATGATAAAAGAAAATAATCGTAACTGAAGACACGTAATTATTGATAATAATCTGAAGTATCATTAAAGAGACATGAAGATACAGAAATACACGAGACATTTCGTTTTGTGTTTAATCGTTTTACATTTAAATTCCACCGATCTTCCTCTCATTACTATGATTTTGCACAAGAGATTCTTCTATTTTTCTTCTATGTTCAATTGTCGCATTTACCTGACACTCGTAATCTTTATGCTGCAACAAATTCTCACACTCCTCACCGCAAACTGGCCAACCGCACTTGGAGCACAGCGGTTTGTCATCCGGACTAGGAGGCCAAGGTGTGTAGCAGGCGAGACACAAGGGATAAGTGCATGCCTTTGGCCCGACGACGAAAGGCATTTCCGTCACGACCTCCTCGCCAGCTTGCAGTTCTCTGCTCGTGACCATGTACCTAAAAACACATCGTGTTACTGTGTACTACACGAACAGGCTCAAATTAGATCATGGGCAATTAAAGCAATTATATTCTGATCGCCGAGGAACGCGCTATCTTCACGCCAGGACGTAATCCTTTGCTACGTTCAAATAACAACAGTATTTATTATGTGAAACACAGAAATCACGCGATTTGCTTATTCTATCATTTCAGGTAACTTAAGGGGATTAGAGGGTCAGATTGCTTGAAAATCGTGCTTATTTTTTCACAATTTTTTGTGACAAACTGAATGAATATGCAGAAGTGTTATTTTGACGTGTATTTATACAACGTATAAAGAGAAGAAAAATATAATTTTGATGATCAAATACTCAATATAAGTGTAGTACTCAATATAAGGGTACATGTAGTTAAAATATATTTCGTTTTTCTTTTCAAGATTGTCACTAATATCTCGATTTTCGGTGGTTCAATTAAGCTGAATTTTAGATAGAAAATTTCCGTAAGCTTGTCGTTATCGGGTGAACCACTAATAGAAATTGAATAAAAGTTAACAAAATTGCAAATATCTTAATGGAATATTATTAAAATTTTCAGTTCTTTTATAGTAAAAAAGTTAATTTCAAAATTAAATATTTTTACGAGTTTGTCAATAGTTCTCCCGATAATGACAAGTTTACGAAAATTTTCTACCTAAAATTCAACTTAATTGAACTATTGAAAGTCAAGATATTACTGCAAAATGACGAGCTTGAAAAAGAAACCGAAATATATTTTAACTGCATGTAACATACACTTATATTAAGTATTTGTTCTTCAAAATTATATTTTTCTTCTCCTTATATGTTGTATAAATATTAAATGTTGTATAAATACATTTAAATGTTGTATAAATACACGTCAAAATAACACTTTCGCATATTTATTCAATTTGTCATAAAAAATTATGAAAAAACAAGGACAATTTTCAGCAATTCTCTATAATCCCCTTAAGGCCTTTGCAGAATGCCAGGCAACAGGCAATAGGAACAGGGAATAGGAATTCGGATTGACCAATTATTTCTATTCCCTGTTTATATTTGCTAATGCCTATTCCTATTGCCTGTAACCTGGCATTGTGCAAAGACTCTTACTTGCAATATCTTATACTGGTACATTATACGCTTTTCATTGGGAAATTAATTGTTTTCTGAGGCTCATAGTCTAAAATTATCCTATGTTTTGTCTCAGGCCTTTTCAAATGAGGGTTAGCAGTTTGACTTACCTGCCAACTTGATCGTTTCGAAGCACCTTATACGCCTGCGGCGCAGATTCTTCTGCGGCTCTGCTACTTCCCTATAACATTCACAAACCGCGGATGTAACGAAATTAAAAAACTAATTGCTCAGATCAAAATAAAACTTACTCGCGCTGCACATTCTTATTGCAGATATTAAAATATCCATAAATAAGTAACGTAATTTATATTGTACTATTTTGCAGTGTATCATTTCTGACATTTTTTATCGCCAAACACGAATCTGTTGTATAAATTTGGCTATCACGTTACAATCTAGAGGAAAATTGGATAAAAAAAACGACAAAATCTTTCAAAAGTGACGATTTTGAGAGATTTCGTGATGTGGTAGCACTAGAAAATTTGTTTCCTAAATTTTATTAATGCCATGCGAAGGTATAAATTTTAGCTTTAAAATGTGTTTTCCATTTCTGTACGATTTTTCGTTTTAAAGATATAGTTTTAAAGATATAACTGTCTAAAAATAGTTCTCCCGTATATAATGAATAAAAAAGATATTTAATTCTATCTTGATATTATATTGTATTGTGTATGTGTATATGTATATTATATGTGTATATGTATATGTGTATGTGTATATTATATGTATGTGTGTAAAGTAAGTGCTTTTTATACTCACATAATATAATCGAAAAATATTAAATAAAAGAACAATAACTTTAGCAATTTTATATATTCGTTTGTCTATACCCAGATAGCACAAAATCTTTAGAGAATGTTTTGGAACGTTCTTAGGATATATAAATATCATTATGTCCTTTGAAGATTTCTGTTGTATGGGTATTATGGACGATAACACACGGTCTATATTATATAGATAGAATTAAATAACCTTTTCATTTACTACATGAGAAAATGGCTATTTTTAATTAGATATATTTTCTAATAATAAAATAAAATAAGGAATTTAGTAATAAAAGAGTGATACTAGTAATAGGGATGAGAGCAATAGTAATAAGGTAATAAAGGAATAAATGGAAGAGAGTTTTAGAAATTAGAAATAAGAGCATAGAAGTAAATTTGTGGATGAGATAAGGATGTGAGGTAGTTATATTAAAGAATGGAAAATGGATGGAAGAATGGATG